AGGCTGTGTTGGCTTTGGCTCCCCACTGAAGGCAAAATCATTCTTCAGAATTCCCACCTTTCCTCCCACCATGACCCACTCAGCATCCTTCTTCAAGTCACACAACAAATGTCCCATCTCCTTACTGTCCAACGGCAGAACGTCCTTAGTCAGCATCACCCCCAATAGGTCAGCACCAACATTCACATCAACCTTCTTGTCATTTCCAGAGACTACAACTCCCAATATAAAATCCCCCGGTTTCGGCTCAAAATATTCAACACCCACTTGGTTGCCCTCCTTGATAACTTGTTCATCCTTTTTTATACCCACTCCAGAATCAGACTTCTCTTCCAGTGACTCTGTAGGCGTAAAGAGCCTTCGAAAGGGCTCCAAGATTTCATCTTTACTACGCTTTTCAGATTCTTTCTGCGTTTCAGTCTCCGACAGGTCGCCTATGGGCTTGGGAGACGGTTTATTGAGCAACCCAAATTCGTCACTTTCACGCCTTGCAGGCAAATGGGCACTCCTAGATTCTTCGATTGTTTCATTATTAGAGCAAAACGATACCTGAATCAGTCTCCGAACTGAAGAGCTCGAAGAAAGAGTCAGGTATCTGGAAGAAGCGGAGTAGGGTTTTGGGGTTGTAGCCGGGAAGTGGGCGGCGGTGCTGTGTATAACAGGTGATGACGAATTGGAGACTGGAAGAATTGGATTGGGAATGGAGGAGCATTTACAGAGATTAACAACAACGAAGGACATGTTTCATTGGGTGCGCTGCAGAGCTCACTGCTTCTCTTATCTGTACTCTGGTTTTTTCGGAGTAAATGCTTCAAGCTTGTTTCCCACACCGGTTAGATAGAAGAAATGAATTCCTTTTGGGTAGTATAAAAATGGTGGGCGGCCTTGAAGTTAGGGCATACCTTTCTCGGCCTTTTGGCTAAGATCAAGTGTAGTATCTGTTCTTATCAGTTTAATATTTGATATGTGGGCCATTGGTCCACACGATATTAACTTTATTTTTCTAAGGGGAAGGCCCATCCAGGCAGCTTGCTGTCTTGGGCTTTTGCGCGTCGCCTTTGCGTTGCACTATTGCATCGGCCCGGCGCACCCTACCAATTAATTTGAATTTTTACATTACTGCTGGCGCTGCGTAATTATGGCACTTAGGATTCTAAATAATAAACTAAGGGGGTGTATTCAATCCATATTTCAATAGATTCTAATTGATTGTTTAGAATTCATGGATCATATAAAATCAATGGATTATTTTAAGTCTACGTGGAGTTAGGTAGATTTTAATTTATTTTTTAGAAAGAATTTTTATGATTTTGACAAATTATTTATAATACATAATATTTTTTCCTTTTCTTTTATCTTTGAATTTTTTTTTCCTTTTCCTTTTTTACTTTTTTCTTATTTTTCCCTTCTTTCACAGGACCCTGTTTCCCTTTTCTCTTTCCCTCTTCTTTTCTTTTTCTTTTCTTTTTCCTTCTTCCCCCACAAACCCTAGCTGCTGCAACCTTTATTTTCTTTTTTTTATTATTCTTCTTTGTTTCGTTTGCCGGCTCAGCTCCCACGCCGCCACCACCACCATCGTCGCCACCCAGATTCACTGCTGTTGTCTCTCTTCTTCTTCTTCTTCTTCTTTCCTCCACCGAGTAGTTTTGTTCGTGGTTGCCAGTAGGTTTTTGTCGCCTCCGGCTTCGCTTTCTCTTCACTGTTGCCATGAAGCACTCGCCGAACTAAATCGTCGGACCAAAGCTCCACAGGAATTGACGTGGGACCAAATCGCCGGACCAAAGCTCCAAATCTTGTACCGAATATCACCTTCATATCTATGCTCCCCCAAGTCCAATGAAATCTTTGGAAATAGCCACAGATTTGTCACTGGATTTTTCTTTAGAAAAATGACTCCTAAATCAATCAAAATTTACCCATAATACAAATCTTTTCAAATCAATGGATTGTTAAAATACTTTTAGATTTTGGTGGACTTTTAAAAATCTAAATTGAATACTCTGAAATTTTAAATGATTTTATAAAATTTCAATTGAATACTCACTCACTTTTAAAATCCAAAAAAATCCTAGAGAATCTGGATTGAATACACCCCCCTAAAAGTTGTGTTTCGAAGTAAATGCTGAGCTTATAGGTTTTCTTGGTAAACAGTATAATCTGTTAATGTGGATTAGAACTTAGAGAGAAAACAATATATTGTAAAACTAGATACAATGTGGCACTCCCATTAGAAAACAATACAATGTGATGTATATTCTGACTGGATATCGAGCCATTACTTTTATAAATATTTTTTGAGGTAAATCAAACTCTTCATTAAGTAAGTAAACAATATCGGGATTACAAAGTTTGGTGCTACTTCTCCAGAGTGTGACTTGACTCAACATGTCCAGCCAAGGAGTGGGTAATGAACAATTCATGCAAACAATACAAACAAAATCAAATAAAGGCACGATAGCAAGATAATCCTCAATTAGAATCATTAACTAGATCAAAAGCATTCTCCACAAGTTTCTAGGAAATAATCCCATTTTTTCCAGTAAAGACAAGATCTTGAGCAACCGGTCCGGCCAAAAAACTCAAAATATAAAGAAGGATCTCATGATTCTTTTGTCTATCAATAACTGCACGTATTATAAGGTGAATATGAAGAAGTAGATCATTTTCTCAACTAACACAAAAAATATACTCCGTACTACCTATAAATCATGCACTTTGATGATGGAAAAAACCACATTATGCCAATATAAAGAGAGCTCTACCTCACAAACATGAAACATCTCTAGCCTTAAATCATGAAAGTCTCTCCTTACACGTCATTACTTCAGTAAACAAAAGGTTCCGCTCTATGTTTATTGTAGTCAATTGCATCCTTTTGTAGGAACAACTCCTACCGCTAGATCTTTGAGATCAACCTAGCAACCTTGTCATATGTTGCTCACCGTTGATATGTTGTACGAGGTAACAAAGTCAACTCACTACTGAGTTCCTTGCCTCCAAAATATCCACAACAACTACACCACCATCCATAGACCACACAAAAAATCTACCAACAAAGGAGACTGAAACCAATCCACAAATGACATTCCCTTCTCCCTTCCCAAAAGTCTCCTCACATCTGTGAAAAAAGTGCAAAAAAATATGATAAACCGTCTCCTATGCTCTTCCACATAATGGACACCCACCATCCATCAAACCCCCACTACATCGCAAGATCAATTGTAGGTGGTCTGCCATAGAAAACAATATAATGTGATATTTTTTTTGTCAATCTGTCTCGTTCGTGATAAATAATTTAGAAATATTCATTACTATTTGGTGCTTTTAGAAAATAGTAGAATGAGACATATTTTTCAATTGAATATCAGTTTTAATTAAAGTTCAATCCTTAATTTTTTATATGATATACTCCCTCTGTCCACCATAGATCTTCCCAGTCACTATTCACAGGGTCAAACTTTACTCACTTTGTTTACTCAATTTTACTAGTCATTTCATAAAATAATATAGTCTTGTCACCTCTAGTTTTGTAGAACTTTTCATGTAGTTTATTACTATATAAATTTTATTTTAAAATTTTACTCCTATAATCAATTAAATTGAATTGAAAATAGAGTCGGTCAAGCCTCGTAACGTGTAATGGGAAGATCATACATGGACGGAGGGAGTAATGAAGTTCTATTGTTTCTTTACATGTTACAACAAAGATTTAGTTAGTATACTTGTATTTTTTAGTACTGTGTATTTTGCTGACAATTATGATCTCCACCATCATCTTCCTAATCTGAACTACCATTCAATTCTATAAGTTAATATGACAACCACTTTTGTAAATCTGTGTAACAATATTGTACAATACTATTTTGGCTAAAATTCCAATATTTAGATTATTTAAAAAATAATAACATTATAAATTAATATATTTTCCGATCAAGAATTTAAAGACATTATTTTCTACTCTCTCTTTTTTAACATAAACTTCTTCATGTCTTTTTGTTTGTTTTAAAATAAATTTCTCATTTTTTATAGTATATATGTATTGTATGTGGTTCATAATATTTATCTTCTCAGCATTATCTCAACCACAAAATTAGTTTTTTTAAACTACCTGAAAGCTAAAATGAGAAGTTTAATTTAAGACAAAGAGAGTATTTTATTAGAACACAATTGTTATCATCAAGATAATACTTGTATATGTAAAGAATAATAATACTCGAATAAATAGTGAAATACTCCTTGGCTAGTTCTTCTTCGAGAATTGGTGGATACCAAGAAATACGGCGGGAAAGGTTTAACTAAAAATGAACCGGCAACGTGTTTAAAAAAATCCAAGTTCAACTTGATCCATTTTGGTATTTAATTATGAATCAATGAGTAAAGATCTTTAAACAAAGACTTTCATTTTTAAATTTTCAAAAAAATCTTTTCATGGTTTAGACAACATCACAACAGTAATGGCTAACCAAAAACCATAAAACATCATATGTGAATAAACAAGACAAGATGAGTTCATTTGTCCAATGGTTATCTTAGACCTATTTCCCGGTAGATAATAAGAACTAGGCAATAGTCATATACCACCTCATTTGGAAATTTGATCCATTCCTATTTGTTTTAACAAATAATAGCCAAATTCTTTTTGTGTGTTCTATTTTAGAGTAAACGGACACGTATCGGCCTATGATATTGTTAATTTTGAAATCCAATCTCCTCGTTAGTGTCAATCACATGCTCCATTTTCAGGGCAAAACAGTAATTGAATCATTCTCCTAACTAAAGGAGCATGAAGAAAAACGTTAGGTTATTCAAAAGCTCAATGTTATTGGAAGGGTTTAAGGGTTCTAGCATGGAATTATTGGAAGGCTGGTGGTGGAATAAATGTTTTTAGCTTTGTTTCCATGCGCTGCTTGACTGCAGCTTGAGTGAATAAATGTTTCAGCTTTTCTCCCACACCGGTCAGATACAAGGAATGAATTTCTGTTAAGCAGTATAAAGGCGCGAGGCCTAAATGTCTTTTAAGCATACCTTTCTCGGCCTTTTGGCTAAGATCAAGTGTAGTATCTGTTCTTATTAGTTTAATATCTGATATGTGGGCCATTGGCCCACACGATATTAACTCTATTTTTCTAAGGGGAAGGCCCATCTAGGCAGCTTGTTGTCTTCGGCTTTTGCGCGTTGCCTTTGCGTTGCACTACTGCATCGGCCTGGCGCACCCTACCAAAATTGGTAAAAATTCTATTGTCTAATTAATCGATATTTGGTCGTATATCAATCTCTTTTGTAAAACATTGGATACTTTGAATCGTAGAATTTACTACTTTGTTGAGTTCTGTTTAATTTTGATTTTTCCATTCAAATTTAGCAACACAAATTAAACTGGACAATCATAATTTTAAAAAAGTAGCATAACATGGATCCTAGTGTTAAAGATTTGGTGCTTGTTTTCTTTTAGCTTATGTATTTTGTTCTGGTCCAATTCGATTAAATTTTTATTAAAGCATAGTTATATTTAAACTTATTTTTGATCTTATTTCTATTACCAATAACTAACAAGTAAAAAGAAAAAGAACAAAGTCTTAACCTTTAAAAGGAAGTAATAGTCTAGCACATCTGTCACTAAAATAAGTAATTGTTTTAATAGAATTTGAATAATTTTATTTTGAGATAGAGTATTGATATACCCGTATCTTATACATTTTTATTCTGCGACTTTAATTTAATTATTTCTTTTAGCCTTTTACTTTAATTTACATAAGTTAATTATCTTTTTGTTGCACGTTGTAATATTTGACTTAGGAAATTAAAAAAATTTTTTGAATCATTTCACATGAAAAATGGTGTGAAATTAAGAAAAAGATTAGTACATATTTAAAAAATATATATCAAAATATATACAAAACTAGAAGTGAAATAATTTTTATTTTATCAAATAAACAACGAAAATAAATATACAAAGTAAATAAAGTTTGATTATTTAAATAATAATAAAAAGAAAATAATTTTTGGACGATGGATTACTTTAATGCTTGTTTGAAATAAAATGTTTTATTTTATTTTGTCATTTCATATTAGATTAAAACTTTTTCTTAGAGCAATGTCACCAACACTGCACTATTAGTCCCTTTTACGAAAGAGGAAAATAATATGAAATAATACAACTTTTTATGATTTTTTAAAAATAATCCACTACTAAGAGTCACACATATTAATTTTAACTTTTCACATGTATGCGAGTTTTGGAGGCCGTCACGAAGCTAATGGTTACATAACGATTTTCTATTGAAAAGACTTGTTTTGTGCAAGTAAATGAAAGTTCAAATTATTTGAGGTAATTTCTATTTATTTCAAATTTTTTTCGCTTTTTAAAAATTTTGAAATTATGTTTTTAGAAATATAATGGTTCAAAAAAATTAAATTTCTATTTTAGGGGAAATGTAATAGTGGAAATCGAAATAAAAATTTGGAGTACTATCTGAGAAAAAAAAGTTGCAATACAATATTTTTAGTGAACATTAAAATTATAAATACATTAAAAACATTAAAATTACACAAGTTTTCCCCTTAATATTATTTTTTAATTCTTATTTTAATTCAAATAAATAAATTAAAAACATTAAAATTATAAAATAATTGAACATTTTAAGAAATATAAATTGAACATTTCATAATAAAATATAAAATTTAAATTAGAATTACAATAGTTGTGTTACTAAGAAACACTTCCTCCGTCCCACAAAACATTCCCTTTCTTTTTTCATCCGTCCCAAAAAATACTTCTCTTTTCCTATTAAAAAGTCACTTTTACCCCTATTATTTCTTAACCTACCAATCACATCACACTTTTTCTCTATTAATCTACCAATCACACCCTACTTTATCCATCACATCAAAGAGCAATTCTGGAAAGTCAACACCAAAATACACCCCCCTTAAATTCTTTAAAAGTCAAAATGAGAAGTTTTTTAAGGAACGAAGGGTGTATAATAATAGTGCATCAAACAATACAATTTCTTTTTTAAAAAATAAGAATACATATTAAAAATAAACATAATAAAAGAAATAAACATCCCCGCTTGAGTGTTGTATTCAAATAGTGAGAAATTTGAATTTTTTTAACCGTAACAGCTAATTTTCAAAGAAAAACTAAACCTTTGCCAACGGGAAAAACGGGGAGGGAACCCTGCCTTTCCCGTTCCTGCAGAGGGGTGGCGGTGTTCCCGTCCCGATCCCGCTCTTCCCCTTCCTTTCCCGCTCAGCGCACCCCATAGCCTAAAAAGCATGATAGGACTTGTAGACATTGAGGTCCCACATGAATAGAACTTACAGATTTGTACGTATAAGAATTTCATTTATTAGAATCCCTTATTTATTTAAAATAAAAAGTTGAGGTAATTGTAACTCATTCAAACAAGTTTAAGATTCGTAATGTTAGAATAATACAAAGTAGAGTAGTAAATAGGTAAATGCTACAGAGTATGTATTATACTAATAATTCTAAATAATTTAAGCTTAAGCGAAACACCTAGCTTGGTCTATGATCAACTGATCAAGTTTCTAACTATGTGTAAGGGTCCGTTTGGTATCAAAAATTGGTGGAATTGGAATTAAATTGAAATTGAAATTCCATGGGATTCAATTCCATAGAATTGAATTCTGTCCATTTCAATTCATTTTTTCCACTATCAATTCCAAATCCACATAATTTTTATGTTACCAAACATCAGAATTTGAATTGAAGTCTTTAATTCCAATTCCATAGTTTGAATTCCATGTACCAAACAGGACCTAATAGAATTTCAAATTTATCAATTAACAATTATAAAGTAATAAATGTCCCAAAAGTTTATTCGTCCATTACTTTTTTTTTAGTAAATGATTTAATAATATATCAAACCCGAGCCCGTGATTTTACGGGGCGCACTCTGGCGGGCGGGCCGGATATGCAGGTCTGTGATCGGGTTAGTGGCTTGTATATAATAGGAGCCGTTAGTAAAACCCTAATTTTTTGTGAATTCGAGTGGAATGGGGCACAAGCGGAGGGAGAGAGATGGCGGCGACGACGGAGAGGATCCGAAGGAGTCTTTCCGGCCTTCAATGATCAAGAACAAGGAGAAGAGATCCGCCATCCACGCCAAGCTCAAACGCGAGAAGAAGGCAGAGAAGCGCAAGAAGTCCAAAGCTCGCGAAGATGCTGAAAAACGGGCTCTGGAGCTCGGCGAAGATCCTCCGCCAAAGCAGATCCCCCGGACGATAGAGAACACCAGGGAGGCTGATGAGACTGTGTGCAAACCCGACGATGAAGAGCTCTTCGCGAGCAACGATGTGGATGAATTCAGCGGGGTCATCAAGAAAGACCTAAACCCTAAGGTTCTGATCACGACCTCCCGATTCAAATCCATAAGAGGACCTGCGTTCATCTCTGAGTTGCTCTCTATCATTCCCAACGCTCACTATTACAAGCGAGGGACCTACGATCTGAAGAAGATTGTGGAATATGGGAAAGCCAGAGAGTTCACATCCATCGTTGTGGTACACACCAATCGCTGGGAACCTGATGGTCTGCTCATTATTGGGTTACCGGATGGACCCACTGCTCATTTCAAGCTCACCAGGCTTGTCCTCCGGAAGGACATCAAGAATCATGGGAATCCTACCGGTCATGTACCCGAGCTAGTTTTGAACAACTTCACCACTCGATTGGGGCACCGGATTGGGAGGATGATACAATCTCTCTTTCCACAGGATCCCAATTTTCGGGGCCGTAGGGTTGTGACATTTCACAACCAGCGCGACTTCATTTTCTTCCGCCATCACCGGTACATATTTGAGGCAAAGAAAGTGAAGCCGGCCTCACAAGAGGGGAAAAAGGGCAAAGAAGGAGAAGATGGTGAGGCGACGCCCCAGCTGAAAGAAAGAGTTGTGGCGCGTCTTCAGGAATGTGGTCCTCGTTTTACATTGAAATTGCGCAGCCTGCAGCATGGCACCTTTGACACAAAGAGTGGGGAATATGAATGGGTTCATAAGCCAGAGATGGATACCAGTCGTAGAAGATTTTTCCTGTGACCATTGAGAGGGTATGAACCATGCTTTTGAATTTGTTCTTATTTCCTGCGCTCCGTGCTTGTTTTTGGGTAAAATTGAGCTGTAATGGTTTCCTTGTTCAAACAAAATTCGAGTCATTTGAGCTAAAGGGGGGGTACTGTGTTTTCTTATTGCTGGTAAGCATAAAGTAATTTGCTTAGTTTTTGTTTGGAAAATCTAGTGACTTCCCTATCAAACTTTGAATTGGTTTTCTTTCTTTTTGCTGGTTCTGCAATACTGATTCTCATATTCAATTAGAATGAGTTGAGGTTGTATTAGTTGTCGATTCCTACACAATGGAATTTGATTCTTAGAGGTTATCAACTACATGATTCTCCCTAATTCTTAAATAGCTGAAATTGGGGGAGGGATTCCTTGAAATCTCATCTTCTCTTAACACATTGCTAAATTCATTTATAAATGTATGTAATGTGTCCATCCAATAGTTTTTATCAGTATCTTTTGGGTAACAATGCAAATAACTTGTAACTATTGTGTTTACATACACTTAAGGAGCATCTGATTTCAAGAGATTCATGTCCAGAAACTGTTCCTGTTTGGGGTTGGTCTGAGATTCATTGACGTGCGAAGAAGACAAAGATTGGCCAAGCTCTTTCCCGCAGTTCCAATGGAACCTCAGTGCAAAACTTCTCTCCCTTAGCATGTCCAACATACTTTCTCCTTCCCAAAGAGATTGTTTATTTGTAGGTTTTCATTGATTATTTTATAAAATAAATTATTCTTGCCATTTCGAGTTTTAAAAAAAAATTGACGTAGTTTTAAAAATGTATTTTATTTTCAATTTCTATACCAATCTTTAAATAAATAAATTGAAAAAATTGAAATTTTGTTTTGTTTTGCGTAATGTGTCAGACACTTTGAGACAGAGGGAGTGTGTTTTATCTAGTAAACTTCCCAAAATCAAACTAAGAATATGTTTTTGAGATGAAACCACTAAAAATTTAGTAATCTTTCTATCCCAATTTAAATTACATGTTTATTATTTACATTGTGAAATTTCCTTCACTTTATTTTTTATTTTTTTAGTTATTTGATAAAATGATATAGTCATGTATCTTTTGATGTAGTAATTTAAAATTTAATTTTTAATTTTGCACCAGTTTTCACATAAAATAATTTAAAAATAATTTTAGTTAAACATCTTAACTGAAACAAGCAAAATATAAATTGGGACGGAGCGAGTAGTATACAAGGAGTTTTACCTTATCCAGTTCCATTTTTATGTACTCCGAGTTGATACTCCGCATTTGTAATCTAGAGAGTAGATTTAGGAGGTGAATTTGGCCATTCTTTTATGAAAATAAGTAAATAGACCGGAAAAAGAATAAAATAAGAGTAAAACATTAAAAATATATCAGAATAGGAGTTTCATATTTTTATTCTCGAAATAAGAGTTAAAATACATTTATATTATCAATCATGATCATGTACATTACCAAAAAGTATAGTAAAATATACATGTACAATGTCACATTACCACACAGTGTGAAGTCCAATTTAACAAATAAAAACATGAAACTCTTATTTTGTTACTTTTCTATGTTTTATTCCTATTTAGGGTTATTTTATTTAGGGAGAAAAACAAATTAGGACTAAAACATTGAAAATATACTAAAATAGGACTTCCATGTTTTTATTCCCGAAATAGGACTTGTATTACCAAACATGGTCATATACATTACCAAAAAAGTATAGTATTTTGCACATGTACACTGCTACATTACCACAATGCAAAGTCACATTACACAGTGCAAAGTCTTATTCCGGGAAAAAGACATGAAAATCCTATTTTGGTACTTTTCTCTATTTTTAGTCCTATTTAGGATAATTTCTATTTTATTTAAATATATACGGAGTAAGATTTTCACGTGTATGAAGTTAAGTAGGGAATAATACCTTGTTCTGAATTAATCGTCTCATATTTTTAGCTTGCTTTAAATAATTGTTTCAATTCTTTAATTTTTTAATAAAGTAAAGAACAAGTGGTCTACAATCGTTTTTTCGTTTAAATTAATTTCAATCACTCCTATTTTTCAATATTTTTCTAAAACTTTGTTAAATCAAATTTGAACAATCAAATCTTGAATGAATAGTAAAGAGGGAAAAAGGGTCTCCTAATCTCATTTTCTCCTTTTTGTGATGGATAAGTTATTTGTACCCCAAGAATTTGTACTCCATTTTGTACATTGTAGGGATGCACTAATATTTTATGTTGGTGTAATGTTAATTTTTGTTAACGCACCAACAATTTGCGTCAGTGTAAATTTTTGTTAACGCACCAACATTTTGTGTCAGTGTGAACCATCAAAATGTTGGTGCATACCTTTAGTGTACAAATGTGGTACAAATTTTGGGGTACATGTAGCATGCTCTTTTGTGAAGAACTCTTTTCACCTGTTGGATAATTCAATTCAGCTATATCTATATGACCATTTGGTGTACCTCATTTGTCTTTCACCCCCTTCTCCACCACCCATTTTTATCATTTTTTTAATTTTTTTTTAAAATACTTGCCCATTTATGTGGTGGAGGAGGGGGTGGGGGACAAATGGGGACCCCTAGCATTTTTCTATCTATATATGTGGAAAAATGCTAGGGGTACACCAAATGGTGTACCCCATTTGTCCCCCACCCTCTCAATTACCACATAAATCGGCAAGAATTTTAAAAAAAATTAAATAAATAAAAATTAAATAAAAATGGGTGGTGGAGAAGGGGGTGGGGGACAAATAGGGGTACACCGAAGTGTACCTGCTCATATATGTGACTCTTTTCTCCTTTTGAACGACTCTTTTCTCCTTTTGAAAAAGTGTGATCCATTCCTAGTACGGAGTATATGACAACACTTCATAGGAAACATGATACTCTATAGAATTAAGCTACTGCTACACAAAAATTGTGCTTCAAATTATAGACCACATATGTGTATTTTCATTTTGTATTTATATAATGCTAGTGTAATAGTTTACATTAGCACAAAATAGTACCCAGAGTAATACATACTACGAATTTTTTTGATCACACTAATATTTTGTGTGTATTAAAATGTTAGTACATAGTTTTGGTATATAATTTGGGATAGAGTCCTTGGTGTACCCCTCTAACTCCATAATAATTGTCCTTCAGGATTGTTTCCTCTTTTCGTATAGCTATTTACGGATTAAACAAAATCTCAAACAATGTTTTTTTTTTGCTAAAAAATGGATGAATCTCATTTCTTAGGGTCCTACAAAATGTGTTGGCAATTCTTTGATGGCCCGGTTCTATGACCACTTACTCTCAGTGGTCACGAAGAATATTGTCTTAATTATAATACTTATGCTGTTTCGTTTGTAAAATTGATCGTTCCTATCCCATAACGCCCTAGGTAAACTTTGACCTAGTCACAATCCCACCCCATTCCCACTCACGTCAATTACGGTGCACAAGTTTAGTTGACTTTAAAGTTAAAAAAATTAACTCCAAAGTCAACTAAACTTGCACTCCGCAATTGATCTAACGTGAATGAGGGATGAGTTGAGGTCAGGCATGTGTGGAGGGTATGGGTGCATACAAATCAAATAAAATCTATTCGATTCGTGATTCGTATTCGAAAAGGATGATTCGTATTCACTATATTCGAATTCAAATCCGAATGCAAATCGTATTATAGATTCGAATTATTTTCGAATTCGAATACAAATATTAATAGATACGATTCGTTTATTATTAAAATTATTCGAATATTATAATTTATAAATAAATTTATATCTATCCTAATATATTCAATATTTGTGTACATATTTTAACATATTTTAATATATTAAATTTTGGTGTACATATAAATTTATATATATTCGAATATTATAATTTATAAATAAATTTATATATATTCTAACATATTTTTACTACATTTTTTACTATATTTTACATTATTATAAAATAATAATTTAATGTCTTTAAAAATCTGTTTTAAGAAAAAAAATTCTAATATTTTCGAATTCGAATATTCGAATACGAATTCTAATACATCAAATATCTATCGAATCGAATACGAATGTTTTTTAAAATTCGAATTATATACGAATCCGAATTCGAATACATATTATTTTAATCGAATACGAATCGAATAGTGATAAATTTGCTTCGATTCGATTCGTATACACCCTTAGTGGAAGGGGATTATCAAAGAAGTAGTAACAATCAATTTTACAAACGTAGCAACGTAAAAGGACATTGTTCTCAATGGCTACTTAAAGTGAGTGGGCATAAAATTTGGGTGATTCTTTGATAGGAGATGAAAGGTAAATGTTATTGTGGACCTAAAGTTCACATATTTTTATGTGAATCTACAAGTTAGGGTGATAAGTAAATGTTTATCTTTATTTTTGCAAGAAAAAACAAAAAGAATCTTTTTTCTTTTCAAAGTATGAGAAGATTCATAAAAACAGTGTTAACCATAAGTTCAAAAAAGAATTATTACCTCCGTCCCAGAGTATTTGTCCACTTTCATTTTTACACACCATCCAATACACTTCTTTAATCCATTTTATCTTGTAATTTGTATATTAAAAAATTATAGAAGTTATATATTAATAATCTATATGTTAAGACAAATCAAACAAGATCACACATGACTATATTTAAGCTTACACATTGAGAGAATTCGATGAGTCAAAGTGCTTAGATCAACAGTTCCAAAAGTCAAAACTGGACGAATACTCCGGGACGAAAGGAGTACTTAACATCTCACATTTTACATATTTGCCCAATTAGAAATTTTTCTTGTTAGAGCAATGTTTTGGTATTCAAGTTGCATCCCACTTTTGACATCCAAACTCATCATCTTAGCTGAACTGGGGACTTGAATTTTTCCAGTTACAGCAGGAACACTATCCTCTTCCATTTCATTTCTCCCTTCCCATTTCTCCCCCCTGCGACATTCCGTCACAGTTCACACTTCTGCCCGCCCCACAGACAAATTGGATCTACGAACACACCTTAACATGAAGCACAATCCAACCCATCAACGTCCGTCCGAGGTGAATTTTTTCCTCGTTACCTCATAATTTTGTTTTTCCCCCACAATTTCTTTGGTTTTGTTTCACGGGGAAGAGGAATTGCAGATGAGTTGGGCTGAACTGTTGTGTTTCGGTTGCGCGTGCGTGCAGCTTTTCTGGCCGCGCGTGGTGGTGCGCAAGTGGCTCAACATCACCGCCAAAGGTTCCGACTTTAGCGCCGATGCCGATGCCGATTCAGATTGCGACTCCGATTCCGATCAAGGTTCTTTCACCCCCCCCCCCCTCCCATTTTCGTTCTATTCATTGGATTCTTTATTGATGTTGAGATTGACTGTCAACCTGACTTGGCAGATGCCTGTAAGTGGCCACCGGAGTCGCGGTTGAAGGATGCCGGAGGAGGTGAAGCCGAAAGGGGTGCAAATGGTAAACCTAATCCCCAAATTTTATGTTTAATTTTGTCCTTAAAGCTTTGTGATTTAACTACAAGTAGTAGACATTCAAGTGTTGAATTGGTGGGCGTTGTTAGAAACATGTTTTATCTTTTACTTTCCTTTTATGTGCGTCCCAAAATTATATACCAAACCAACTCTGAATAATTTGAGAATTTCAACACTTTCGGAGCCCGGGTCATGATATATGCAACCTTACCTTTCTAAAAACCAATAGAGTGGTTGTTTCCGTAAGACCGTTGTTGCATTTTATTTAGCAGCAAGGGAAGTTTAAGTGCCAATACAATTTTGTCTATTATTTAACCATGCTAAAGCATAGTCAAAGGTGGCTCTTTTAGCTCTATTGGAAACTGAATTTCGTCTAGGACTTTAATGCTAGTGACCCATAATTAAAGAACCACGTGCATTTAGAAATGAAGTACATCTATTGCCTATGGCATTAATGATGTTTCTTGATCTATACCCTGGAGTATATGCATATCTATCTCTCTGCCTTTCAATATTTATTTATTTGAGCTATAATTTTGATTTCTTACCATTTTTGATAATGGATTTCATTTCACTACTGTGTAATTTTCACCTTGAACCATTCATTTCTATGTCTGTTTTGGATATTCAGAAGCTGTTCTCAGGATAAGAAGACGAAAGTCTGAGACACTTAGGGCGCAATATATAAATACAAAAGAAATTAGGTATGGATACTTTGACATATAGGGATATTGTATTGGCCAAACATTACATCGTTACATTAGTTATGCTAGCCTTTGGATGACAATCGTTACGTTCCCTGCTTGCATTGGCAGAGTATGCGCTGGCACATGGAATGTAGGCGGAGAATATCCTCCTGATGATCTAGATCTTGATGATTGGTTAGATGTTGACAAGCCAGCTGATATTTATGTGCTTGGGTAAACACCAACTTTATTGAGTGCTTTTTTCTTGAATATTACATGTGAAGATCTGTGAGGATATCATTTTGAGTTACTTTTCCATTCCTAATACAATTGGTTTTCCCGTCCATTGCCTATGGAAAGAAGAGTTATTGTTGACAATGTTTTAGCCTCGGGCACATAATAGACCAACTCAAAATGGAACATTACACTTCCCTTGCATCTTACTTTCTATGATGTTTTGGGCAGTAAATGCAACAATGCATCTAGGGTTTAACTGAAAAGCCTCTACGTTTTTGCAAGGGTAAGGTTGTGTATATGTTGACACCAGACCACAACGGTGTTGGTATTATTTTGGGTTGTTGTTGTAATGCACTAGATTGCCAATTCATTTTCTCATATTGCTAAATGCCCACATTGCTTTTTATGGATAGTTTTGTTTTGTTTCGCTTATTTATACTGGAGACGGTTTATATCTACAGATTTCAGGAAATCGTTCCTTTAAATGCTGGTAATATATTTTGCATTGAAGATAGCCGCCCTATTCCAAAATGGGAGAACATCATTCGAGAAACTCTCAATAAAATCCCACCCGTGAATAAGTTCAAGTCACATAGTGACCCTCCTTCTCCGTCGAGGTTTAAGCCATCTGAAAGTTTTTATGATATTGAAGAGGAAATTACACCAGAGTTCGATAGTGACGATGATGAGGAATTCGTTGCTTCAAATGAAGAATGTGATGAATCTGTTGAAGCCAGTGACTTAAATTTGTCAGGAAATGATGCAATTGTCCGTGCCGTTGTATCTGCATCCGGTGATAGTCATGAGCTGACAGAGCCGGTCACAGCGGGGGTTGAGAGGCCACTTCCTTCCTCAAAGAGATTGGAGAGGTTGAATTGCTTCAGACCTGACGAATCTGATGAAAACTTAGAAGAAAGTTCAATTCATTATGACAAGAAATTAACTAAAACTCTCACGGGAGTACAGAAGATTAGCCTGAGTTGGCCAGAGCCTCCACTATATTATCTTCATCAGCGTGTTTTAGAAATTCCTGCTTCCATCTCAGTTGGAACATACAGTTCTCTCTTATCAACCTCACATGGTCATAATAGACAGCCTCCTGATGTGGCTTTGCTTGCAAAACTGGACCTTGAATCTTTAATAAAGTGTAAAAGATCACCATATGTGAGGATAATAAGCAAGCAATTAGTTGGCATTTTCTTAACTATATGGGTCCGTAGGAGTTTGCGGAAACATATACAGAATCTGAACGTTTCAACAGTTGGTGTAGGCGTAATGGGCTTCATAGGTAACAAGGTTTGCTCTTTTCTTCACTCTCAGCTTTCTACTATGCATGTTCTATGCCAGTTGATGTGGTATCAACTTTATCTTTAAGTGCTGATGATCATATAAACTAGATCATTTTTAATCTGCAATAATGGTTGGTCACGCATTGATTTCTCATTGAGAAGAGGATGTAGTGACTAGTGAGACACTAAATGAACCAATATTTCTGTGAGTTAGAGCAACACTTCGTTCTCTAATATGTTAGGCATGACACACTAGTTAAATTTGTAACAGACTATTATATGACCACATATAATATAGGTTTCACCATTAGACCCAACCTTATTTATGTAGAAAAACTTAAAAACGAAGAACATGAGTGTAACAGAAACACGTATCTTATCTTAAGATATAGTTTTGCTCATGTTGATAGATTTTCACTTACTAAATTGCAGCTTGAAATTCTTTAACATGCCAATTCTTCTCTATTCCAGGGATCAATATCAGTTAGCATGTCTGTGTACCAGACTCTCTTCTGTTTCGTTTGTACCCACTTAACATCAGGTGACAAAGATGTGGATGCAGTCAAAAGAAATGCCAATGTGCATGAAATTCATCGAAGGACACATTTCAATACAGAACCCGGTGGTGGCCTTGCTAAATGTATAAATGATCATGAGTAAGTATATTACAGGCTAATTCATTGAATCTACTTTCTCACTCTATAATGTAGATTTATAAATACGTAGTTGCAAAATTCAAGCTTAGTTGAACTGTAATTTTGTTTTCTTCCCTTTTCTTAATATCAAAACTAGAAACTTACATTTTTGCAGGAGAATAATCTGGATGGGGGATTTAAATTATCGTATCAACTTATCATATGAAGAAACACTGGAGCTAATATCCAAAAAAGACTGGCCTAAGTTAATTGAGAGTGATCAGGTTAATATGGATACATTGCGTATTACAATTTTTTTGAACATTTATATAAATAATTTTTCTGGTCAATGAGGCAGCCAAACAATTACAATATGCTTCTGAATATTTATGATTTATGTTATGATATCATGAATTTGAAAGTTTTGTTGTATCTTGGGGCTAAAGGAGATAAACTTTCACATTTCCATTTCTACCATGCAAGAATTTCTAAGACAATAACGGTTTTGGACTTTCGTTTTGTCATTCCTTCATAAAAAGGTTGCAACATGAAGGGCATCCCGCATAGAAATTTTGTCACAAATTCACAATGTCTTTTCTGTGTTATGTATGAGTGTAACGTTTCTAATCCCAAGAAGGTGAAAGAAATAATATTCTTATTATCCAAGAGTAATTACAATCTATTTTGGGTAGGATTCCTTCACCGAAAATACATCGTAATTCGATTCTTACTTTCAAGACTTGAATCCTTTAAGAGAACGATTTTTCCCAAGCCCAAGGTCACCATATCTTATGTTCTGCCTAAGAATACAGAGTAATACACAAATGAACGAGGCCAACCATAGTATTTTCCTACCTTGGCCTAATTTACTTCCAATTAGGAAAAGTATCCTTAATCATATTTTACTTCATCTCTGAATAAATGACGGGGGATGGTCTCTTCACATGTGTTGAAAATTTATTCCTTGATTTTTTTCCCTCTTGGTCGGTTTGGCTGATTTGAGAGGTTAATAGTCAACAAATTACACCTTAGAAATGAGCAAGACGCATGTGTAACATGTGTGAAGAACAGAAGAAAAAGGGGAGAAAGTGAATAGTATTTTGTTCTTATGTCTTCAAGGTAATTTTGACTCATCTTAATCTCACATGGGTCATATTATTCCTTCAATGTTCTGCACATGGATTGAGTAATTAAGTTCTTTGTTAGTTGGGGAGGCACATGGACGAAATTCTAGGATCAATGCAGACAAAATTTATTAACTTTCATTGGATTGAATAATAATCTGTCTTTAATCAAAGTCTGTGTTTTGTCTATAGCTATATAGCAAACAAGTGAGAACATGGAACAAATTTATGTCATAGTTTATAAAAAAAGCATTGGGTTTTGCTGTATTGATGAATATACTGAATATACTTTGGCAGCTGACCAGAGAGTTTAGGAAAGGGCGAGCCTTTGACGGATGGTCCGAAGGCATTCTGAAATTTCCACCTACATATAAGTACGAAAGAGACTCAGACAAGTACCATGGGGAGGATCCAAGAGCCGTGAGGCGTACCCCAGCATGGCAAGTATCATTTTACATGTCAAAATAAAAAAGAAACATATGTGTATCCTCCTCATCTGCATATAGTACGATAATTTCTTGAACGGTTGCTAAATGGTGAGAAAAAAAAATTCTTGAACAGGTGTGACCGGATACTTTCGTTAGGGAAGGGAATGCGGTTGCTGAGATACAGGAGATGTGAACTTAGACTTTCTGACCACAGGCCGGTGACAGCTACTTATATGGTAGAGGTTGAGGTATTCTCGGCCAGGAAGCTGCAGCGAGCCCTCACTTACACTGATGCAGAGATTGAGAACGAGGAAGTCGTCACGCATTCTTTCCATTTGACAGAATGATCCTGAGACCCAATTGATGTCAAACACACACAGACAGACACTGATGGTTTGATCCTTTATGGTATAGGTTAGCACTGCGTTTCGTCTTATGGTATAGGTTCTCTTTGCTGTAAATTATTGTTATATGTTCTAAGCTTGATCCCAATATATAATCCAAGTTTTATGAAAGGGCAGTTATTAAGTGTTGCATGGATTATCCCTTATTTGGTAAAGTGTGTCTCACACAAATATTATTTTAGTAAAATTAATAGTTGTGTTTATAGACTGATTCCCAAACAAATATTCCAGCAAATTATATCCAAAAGCAACTGAACAATTTGGTCTCCTTTGTTGTATCCCAAATATTTTATCTTGTAATCCTTGTTGTTTATAATAGGGTAGATAAAAAAATTGAAAAATGTTTTCATTGATCACGCGTCTTGAAAATTTATCTTGTTAACTTTACCAACCATGTTCTAAACCACACGTGGCTAGTCCCCTCCATTGCGATACATAAACAACTTACGGAGTAGAATATAATGTTTTATTTTTTCTAAATCCAGTCTCAACAATAGAATTATTTTTATTGTTGGAAGTCAAGCTCCATCAGTGGAGAGTGGAGATTCATAATTGGATCGTGTACATGCATGATACAGTATCGTATCGGGATAAAAAAGGTTGAGCACCTTCGAGCTATAGAATTGAGGAAAAAGAAGAGCTTGAGAACGGAGAGTGGAAGACAGCGTTGATCGGCGAGGAGGAGAGATGAAGTTTAGGATTAGGGAAATATTTCTTTATTGATTGAATAAATAACTAACCATAAATACTAAACTACCTATAATAATAATAATAATAATAATAATAATAATAATAATAATAATAATAATAATAATAATAATAATAATAACAATAATAACAACAACAATAATAATAACAATAACAATAACAACAACAACAACAATAACAATAACAATAACAACAACAACAATAATAATAATAAGCATAGATAATAATTACCTAATAATAATAATACTAAATATACTAAACGTAGTCCCGGCCGTAACCATGCATTAGATTGCAAAACTTGATCTTGTAAGCAGCTAATAGTGGCAAAATAAATGTGGGAATTAAGTAGATGAATGAAACAATATATGCTTTGTTTGTAAAATAAAAGAGCCATATAAATTATAGTAGAATTTTAATGCAACGAAGATGATATTGAAATATTAGTTCGCACTCGAATTCTTTAGGGCATAAAAAGGAACATTGGGGAAGTAATTAATTTTTCTTCGTCTCAGTCCATTCTTTTGGTTGCCGACTCTGTCTCTGTTATCTCTCAGCTGGTGATGTTCCTACTACTACTTTTTGGTGCACCCTACCAAATCTAATCAAATCTTTTCATTAACTAGTAGTTATTGCCTAATTACTCAGCATTGTTATGTTCCGAAGAATCTTTTTTTAGAAGTAATTTGTTGTTTGTCATGTGGGACTCATGTCTCTTTGATGATTAATAAATACGGAATACTATATTCGTGTGTGAAGCACGGTAAAATTTTATTACAATATAAATTATGAATATTAAATAAAAGTGTTTTTTTGGAGCTTGTTATGAAGGGGTGGTATTCACCGTGAGTAGCAAATAATTTGAGAAAAGAATGCAAGTGTTAGGATAAATTGAGACGTATCTATTTTTAACCGGGTTAAAGGAAAAACATGTTTTAGTATAATTTCTCAAAGCACAAATTCATTATCATCTTGAGAATAGATGTATGTCAGGAGACTTGAGATGGAACAAATTCTAAAGTAGAAATTTTTATGTCAAGAAAAAAAGAAAATTTTCTTGATATGAAAGATTATTACATTCACTTTTTTCCAGCCTTTCACATAATGTTTAGAAAACTAAATGGAAAATTGCTTAACACCAAATACATAATATTGTCTCAAATAAGGTCCTACAGTATAGGACTCAATTTTCAAATACAAAAAAGAAATGACCTTAAATGGGAATAAAACATAAAAAAAGTACCAAATAAGAGTTCCACGTTTTTATTCATCAAATAGGAGTTCACAGTGTTGTAATATGACACTGTAGATGTACATATTACTATACGTTTTGTTAATATACATGATCACGATTGATCCTAAATACATTTTAAGTCCTATTTCGGGAATAAAAACATGAAAGTCTTATTTTGATATATTTTCGATATTTTACTCTTTTTATGTTTGGTGAATAATACATCGGCCCGGTTCTAGTGACACCGGAGAACGGTGCCACTCCGGTGCCACTGAGTTTTTGGGGCACCTCCGGTGCTCCGTTCGTAAAATTGATGGTTCCTACCCCCTCTAACCCACCCCCTAAACCCCCCACCCTACCCCCACCCCTGCACCCCCGCCCCAACCCCGCCGTAACCCCACCACAAAATGTGTGGCTATTATGCAACACATTTTGTGGTGGGGTTACGGCGGGGTTGGGGCGGGGTGCAGGGGTGTGGGTAGGGTGGAGGGATTTTTTAGAACAAAGTGATTTTTTTCATTAGCGGAAAATAAACAAATAATTTATAAAACAATAATTAAGCACTAAGACATTCATATTCTAGAAAAAATTGAATATTTAGGAGGAAATTTTGGCATGTGAACAAAAAGTTTGCAAAATAAAAGTCGTGCCTTTTTTGTGAAAAAGGACTCGTGTGGGAACTGGATAAATTTATATGCATATGAGAAAGGGATGAGAAGATTAAACAAACCAGTCTCTAAAAGTCACCAAATACCTAAAAGGAAAGGGGAATTGATATGGCCAAAAAATGAAACTACTTTCACTTCCAAAGTCAAAAAAGTGTGAAATAATATAATTGTGATACATTGTTGAGTAAATAAGAGATCTAGGAATGCAAAACATGTATTTTTAGATAGAGGAATATATTCTAGAACTATGAATTAATTCTCAAACGCAACTGAAGAATTTGGTCTCCTTCAATTCGTTGTATCCTAAAATTTTTACTCCTTTTCACCCTTGTTATTTATAATAGTACGTGTAGATAAAAAAATTGTTAGAAAAAGTGTTCTCATTAATCAAGTGTCTAGAAGATTTACCTCGTTAACTTTACCAACCATGTTCTGTCTTACATGTGGTTTGATCCCCTTCATTGGGATATACATGCAACTCAGAATATAATGTTTTATTTTTCTAAGTGCAGTCCCAAGAATAAAATAATTTTTTATTGTTAAGATTGTGAAGCTCCCTCGGTGGAGAATGGAGATTCATAATTGGATCGTGTACATGGATTAGTTTGCAAAACTCAATTTTGTCAGTAGGAAACTGTGGCAAAATAAATGTGCCAGTTAAGACGTTAAGTAGATGAATGAAGCAATATATGCTTTGTTTGTAAATTAAAAGAAAGCCATATAAATTACAGTAGAATCTTAATGCAACGAAGATGATATGGAAATCATAGTTTGCACACAAATTCTTTAGGGCATAAAAAGGGAACATTGGGGGTAATTTTTCTTCGTCTCGGTCCATTCTTTTGCTTGCCGGTTCCGTCTCTCTTATCTCTCAGCTTGTAATGTTCCTACTCCTACTTTGTCCCACACCGTTAACATAACTTAAGTGCATGCCTTTATAGCCTTATATAACCGGTGGGATCCCAACAGTTTAACGCATACCTTTCTCGGCCTTTTGGCTAAGATCAAGTGTAGTATCTGTTCTTATCAGTTTAATATCTGATATGTGAGCCATTGGCTCCAACGATATTAACTCTATTTTTTTAAGGGGAATGCCCATCTAGGCAGCTTGCTGTCTTGGGCTTTCAAGTGTTGCCCTTGTGTTGCACTATTGCATAGGCCTGGCACACCCTACCAAATCTAATTGAATCTTTTCATTAACTAGTACGGAGTAATTATTTCTTAATTACTCAGTGTTGTTACGTTCCAAAGATTCTGTTTATTTTTTGAGAAGTAATTTGTTGTTTGTCATGTGGAACTCATGTCTCTTTAATAATTAATTAATACGAAATACTAGTGAAGCATGGTAAAATTTTATTTCAATATAAATTATGAATATGAAATAAAAATGATTTTCTTGGAGCTTGTTATGAAGGGGTGGCATTCACCTTGAGTACCAAATAATTTGAGAAAAGAACGTCAGTGTTATGATAAATTGAGTCGTATTTATTTTTAACCATATATTGGATTAAAACAAAAACATGTTTTAGTAAACTTTCTCAAATACAAATTCATTCTCACCTTGAAAATAGATATAAGGGGAATTCAGATGGAACAAATTCTATAGTAGTAACTTTTATGTCAGGAAAAAAAGAAAATTTTCTTGTTATGAACATTATTGCATTCACTTTTTGCGAGCTATTCACATAATGTTTAGAAAACTTAATAGAAAATTGTTTAACACCAAATAGATAATATTGGCTCAAATAGGGTCCTACAATATATGACTCAATTTTCAAATACAAAACCTTGCACAAGTACAATATGGAATTTTAAAGACAAATAATTTTTATAAGAAAAATAAGATTTTTTATATAGCTTCTTATAAATTTCTTCATGAAAAATCTAAATATGGGCAATGTTTATATAGGTTTAATTTTAATTTACTCCCATCTTTCGAAAAGCTAGTCCGTACAAATTGAATTTTACATTCTCATAGAAGGAAGAGCCATTGCATTTCATCGCTACATACCTTTAGCACAAGATGGATCATCTGCATGCTCAAATTTGCACGTATCTTCATGGGCATTGTTGTTCTAGTTGAGACACTGCTGATAGATTTGGTAAAAAAAAAGATTGAAATTTAGAACAAAGTGATTTTTTCATTAGCGAAAAAATAAACGAATAATTTATGAAGCAATAATTAAGCACTAAGACATTCATATTCTAAAAAAAATTGAATCTTTAAGAGGAAATTTTGGCATTTGAACAAAAAGGTTGCCAAAAAAAGTGGTGCCTTTATTTGTGGACAAGGACTCGTGTGGGAACTGGATATATTTATGTATGCATGTGAGAAAGGGATGAGAGGATCAAACAAACCAAAATTTTCTCTAAAAGTCACCAAATACGTAAAAGGAAAGGGGAATTGATATGGCCAATAAAAAGAAGCTACTTTCACTTCGAAAGTCAAGAAAGTGTGAAATATTATAATTGTGATACATCGTTGAGTAAATAAGAGAGGAATATCAGACATGTATTTATAAATGGAAGAATATATTCTAGAATTATGGATTAATTCTCAAACGCAATTGAACAATTTGGTCTCTTTCAATTCGTTGTATCCCAAAACTTTTACTCCTTGTTATTAATAATAATAGGTGTACATAAAACAACATTTAGAAAAAATGTTCTCATTAATCAAGTGTCTAGAAGATTTACCTAGTTAAATTTAACAACATTGTTCAGTATTACATGTGGCTTGATCCCTTCATTGGGATATACATGCAACCTAGAAAATTAATGTTTTATTTTTCTAAGTACAATCCCAAGAATAAAATTATTTTTTGTTGTTAAGATTGTGAAGCTCCCTCGGTGGAGAATGGAGATTCATAATTCGATCGTGTACATAGATTAGTTTGCAAAACTCAATTTTGTCAGCAGCAAACTGTGGCAAAATAAATGTGGACGTTATGTATAGTAGATGAATGAAGCAATATATGCTTTGTTTGTAAATTAAAAGAAAGCCATATAAATTACCGAGTAGAATTTTTATGCAACGAAGATGATATGGAAATATTAGTTCGGACACAAATTCTTTAGGGCATAAAAAGGAAACATTAGGGGTAATTTTTCTTCGTCCCGGTCCATTCTTTTGCTTGCCGGTTCCGTCTCTCTTATCTCTCAGCTTGTGATGTTCCTACTCCTACTTTGTCCCACACCGTTAACATAACTTAAGTGCATGCCTTTATAGCCTTATATAACCGGTGGGATCCCAACATTTTAAAGCATACCTTTCTTGGCCTTTTGGCTAAGATCAAGTGTAGTATCTGTTCTTATCAGTTTAATATCTGATATGTGAGCCATTGGTTCCAACGATATTAACTCTATTTTTTTAAGGGGAATGCCCATCTAGGTAGCTTGCTGTCTTGGGCTTTCAAGTGTTGCCCTTGCGTTGCACTACTGCATAGGCCTGGCACACCCTACCAAATCTAATTGAATCTTTTCATTAACTAGTAATTATTTCCTAATTATTCAGTGTTGTTGCGTTCCAAAGATTCTGTTTATTTTTTGAGAAGTAATTTGTTGTTTGTCATGTGGGACTTCTGTCACTTTGATAATTAATTAATTAATACGGAATACTATATTCGTGTGAAGCACGATAAAATTTTATTACAATATAAATAAATTGTCAATATTAAATAAAAATGATTTTTTGGAGCTTGTTATGAAGGGGTGGTATTCACCTTGAGTACCCAATAATTTGGGGAAAAAACGCCAGTATTAGGATAAATTGAGACGTATCTATTTTTAACCATACACTGGGTTAAAGGAAAAACATGTTTTAGTAGAATTTCTCAAATACAAATTCATTTTCACCTTGATTATAGATGTAAGGGAAATTGAGATGGAACAAATTCTATAGTAGTAAGTTTTATGTCAAGAAAAAAAGAAAATTTTCTTGTTATGAACATTATTAGATTCACTTTTTGCCAGCCTTTCACATAATGTTTAGAATACTCAATGGAAAATTGCTTAACACCAAATAGATAATATTGGCTCAAATAAGAACCTACATGACTCAGTTTTCAAATACAAAAAAAAAAGAAATTATTCTAAATAGGAATAAAACATTCAAAAAGCACCAAATGTGACATTGTATATGTGCATATTACTATTTTAGTCTTATTCCCTTTTTGCAAGTGTTCTCATTAATCAAGTGTTTTGAAGATTTACCTAGTTAATTTTACCAACCACGTTCTGTATTACGTGTGGCTTGATTCTCTTCATTGGGATATACATGCAACTTAGAATATACTACGTAATATTTTATTTTTCTAAGTGCAGTCTCAAGAATAAAATTATTTTTTATTGTTAAGATTGGGAAGCTCCCTCGGTAGAGAATGAAGATTCATAATTGGGTCGTGTACATGGATTAGTTTGCAAAACTCAATCTTGTAAGCAGCAAACTGTGGCAAAAGAAATGTCCTAGTTAAGTGGATGAATGAAGCAATATATGCTTTGTTTGTAAATTACAAGAAAGCCATATAAATTACAGAGTAGAATTTTTATGCAACGAAGAAGATGATATAGAAATATTAATTCGCACATAAATTCTTTAGGGCATAAAAAAGAACATTGGGGAAGTAATTTTCCTTCGTCTCAGTCCATTCTTTTGGTTAATTCCGTCTCTGTTATCTCTTAACTGGTGATGTTCCTACTCCTAAGATCAAGTGTAGTATCTGTTCTTATCAGTTTAATATCCGATAGGTGGGTCATTGGCTCCAACCATATTAACTCTAGTTTGTTGTCTTGGGCTTTCAAGCGTCACCTTTGCATTGCAGTACTGCATACGCCCAACGCACCCTACCAATTAATTCGAATTTTTTCATTAACAATTTCCTCATCTCACCTCCTTCACTGCAATAGGCCCCGCGTACCCTAAGAAAATTCATTAACTATTTTTTCATTAACTATTTAATGAGAAAATCTCTGGGATTGGTAGGGTACAACCTTTAAAAGGAAGTAATAGTACTGTAGCACATAGCTAGATTGTAACTAAAATAACTTTATTTTGAAAGTGTTATGATATACCCGTTCCTCTGTCCCATGAAACCTTTCTCCTTTTTTTTTTATCCGTCCCAAAAAACACTTCTCATTTATATTAAAAAGTCACTTTTACCCCTTACTTTCATACCCTACCTATCACATCATACCTTTTTACTAATAATCTACTCATCAAATCCTACTTTTATCCATCACATCAAAGGACATTTTTGAAAATTCAATACCAAAATACAATCCCTTAAATCTTTTCAAAAAGCAAAACATCCAATGTTTAATGGGACGGAGGGAGTATATTTTTATTATGTGACTTTAGTTTAATTATTTATGTTATTGCTTTACGATATTTGACATAAGTTAATTATCTTTTCGTTGCGCGTTATGATTTTGATTTAATAAACTTTCAAATTATTGTACTTAAAAAATGGTGTGAAACTAAAAAAGGAAAAATACATATTAAAAAATATATCAAAAAATCTATAAAACTATAAGTGAAATGACTATTTTTAATAACTATTATTTTATCAAATGAACAATGAAAATATGTCAACAAACTGAATAATCTCACTTTTAACTGTCACACACATTAATCTTAACTTTTCACATGAAAAGACTTTTTGTGCAAATAAATGAAAGGTCAAACTATTTGAGGTAGTTTCTCTTTTTTCAACTTTTTTTTATTTTTTTAAATTTTAAAAATGTTTTTAGAAACATAACAGTATACTCTACTTAGAAATTTTTCTCTCTTTTATAAATATAATGGTTCAAAAGTTTTATATTTCTATTTTGGAGAAAATGTATAGTGGAATATCGGAAAAAAATTTGGAGTACTAATTGAGAAAAAAAGTTGCAATACAATTTTTTTAGTGAACTATATAAAAAATTAGTGTCATTTTGGAGAAATAGATTGTTGTGCTATTTTCACAACTTTTGTAATGTTATTTTGAAAAAATATTTGTACTGAATCATCAAATAAATCACAAATTTTGTAGTGACATTTTGAAAGTAATAATAATAGTGGATTATGGAAAAATAATTGGTATGGTTGCTCAAGGGAGAAAATGAGGTGAGTTATAATAAAAAAATAGTTCCATTTGGAGAAAAATGTGGTGTGCCATTTCCACAGCTTTGGCAATGTTGTGTTGCAAATTTAAAATTGTATAGCATTATCGGGAAAAAAATCATGTCTTGTAGATAAGAAATGTGTGGTGAATGCATGTGTGGCATACAACTTAAATACAACTTGGTGTACCCAATGCTTATGGATAAGAAATTGTGGTGAATGCTCTAGAATATCAACAATCAAAACTTTTTTGAGCCAATCATTCACTTCATGATCATGTGTTTTATATTCTCTTGAGTGAGAGACTTTGAATTTACTTTCCCACTAGTGTAACTACTAAACTTGGTCCATGTGGGAGGATGTAAGTCCAAAGATCTTTTTAATCAAGGGATATGTGTAGAACATGCCATAATGATTTATTACTTGTAATGAATGTAACAATGAATGTACTCTAAAACATGAAGCTACTTTCAAATCCAAAGTCAAGAAACAATGAATATAATCTAAAAAACAATCCAAAACATTTATTTTATTAATCCTTTTCGAGTAAATCCTAATCTAAACAAAGGAAAAGGTAAGCAAAACAGATAATGGGGACCTATCTTCTTCTTCTTGCATCTACAGCACCTTGTTTTCAACTGGAGATCAAGTCGGATTTCCTCAGCCAATATTGATTAAACCTTTGTGCTGCATATTCCTTGTAATCAAACTCAATGCTGTTCACATATCCCTGCAAATCAATTATACAACTCATCAAGCAAGGTGGTCATCAGTATTTGCATGTTCCTAGACTTTTTTTAAGTTATTCGCCGACTAATAATATAATGAAAAATAAAATGGGAGAAAATTGTATTATGGAAAACAAAGGCAGACCGAGATGATTCCCCATAAGCCCCAGAACAAGTGGTTAGGAAGGGTGTATCTTTCTGCATCATCAGCTAGCTGTTTCACTTCAGAGTTGCTCACTTGGTGGCCTGCACATTTCCATTCAAGAAGGCTACTATAACCATTTTGAGAGGGAACCCACGTCTCCTTAGTCCTCACCAAAACACACATTTCATATATGAGCATTGTAATGTTAGGATATATCGTTTGGAAAACGGCTCGCATTTTATAATGAATTTATTAACGTTTTCCTTCAACATGATTATTCATTTGATCATATGATGTTGATGAGTCTCGTGAAGAACATAGATCGAAATGTACTTTTGACTTCGCTTATGATGTTAGACGCTCAAAACCACTTCCAAGTTCCAAGGCTCAAAGAGTGACAACTGGTGATGAGTAAAGTTGAAAACTCGTGGTGAAAGTGGCCCATTATTCTTGTGTCGTTTATGATTTTTCATATATGTCAACATGAAAAAAAAGTCACAAGGCTAAAAAATTGTTTTTTCCTCCAAACAAGAGAGATGAGTGATCATCAAAATTCTCCAAAGATCACATTTCCCATGTAAACATTTAGGCACATATCGAACATAAAAAATAGAAACAGAGCCAGAAAAACGAACCTGTGGAACTAAGATAAGAGTGTATAAATCTATGACGCTCCTCTGGACCTGTGACAAACAATAAGGTTTATATGAAAACTAGTTATAAAATACAAGCCATACTTTTTTTTAATCATGGGACAATATTACGTTCCGGATGTTCGGATACCAATATGATTGCTAAAGAATAATAAGACATTCATTTTACTAGCAGTACCAATGCAGCAACTTACCAGGGTATTTTGAATAGTCCAAAACATGTGGAGTTTCGGTGTGATAATCCGCTGCCATTTCACAGAAGTGGTTTGCAAAGTCATAAGCTATTGGGTTGTAACTCGAATACTCATAATCCTGTAAAAAGAGTGAAAAGAGATGGAAGGATGCATTAATTCAAACACGAAACACCAACAGGGAACATCCTTATAAGCATTGTGTGGCTGCTCTAACAATGGCACTTACAATAATAGTAATGGATCTTGTCCGCTCGTCAAACATCATATTTCCATATTGCAAGTCATTGTGACAGAAACCGATCATTGATGAATTCCTTGATAGTTCCTCCTCTAACATGGCAATTTCCTTCTCACAGTCATCCAGCTTAAATTCTTTTCTGTCTTCTGGGGAACACAAACCTTTGGCCTTGCCTAGCCAGTCCCTGGGGAAGAAGATCAGCAGTGGCTAGTAAATGAGCCTAAACTTTTATCAACAAAACTGGTTTTGCTTGTGAACTGATGATAAATTTCTACCTCAATCTATCCCAAAGAACAACATTCTTTGGACAAGGCATCCCAATGTTATGAAACTCTCTCAATTTGACTGCTATTAAAGAAAAGATATCTGGATCCCTGAGGTCACTGGCTGAAAGTGTCTGGAAATGAAAAGTGATAATGTAAGCTACTAAGTGATCTTAAAAGGCCTTCTCAAAATTCAGATAACAAAAAAACAACTCATTGTGTGGATTGCCAAAGCATTTACTACGTATGAAGTAAACGTTTCAGTTCTAGTGGCAACATGCAAACAACTTTTGGGAGAACGTGGATGATATGAAAGATAGATGTCAAATGTTTCTCAAAAAGACATGGAAAAAACATTCCTAGAGATAAGAACAGTACATAGTCACACTCGCCCAACAATGTTTTACGGGGTAATATATTTCACAAAAGAGAAAACAGATAACAAAGTTACATCGAATCAACGATCTTCATACCCTGACATCAATAAACTCTTCAACACGTCCCCAAGGGAACTGGCCGAGAAGGCGAGGTCCAAAACCTTGCTTCGACACGTACTCAAAAGCCCGAATTTCATCCTCCCTGCTAAACAAAAGGTCAACTCCCTCACCATAGACCCGAACCAAAACATTCCTGGAAACATTTTCCATCTTTGTAGGCCAGCTTATTCTATATACCAGATTAGTCATTGCTCCGCTCAAATGGACAACCTTCAAACTGTTCAAATCCAAATCATCCCCCCAACTTGAAGCCAATGAAGATAGAAGCTTTATCAATTCCTCAGGTAGACTGCCTTTGCTAGGTCCATTCATCTTGAATTCCATCAAGAACAAATTTATAATCCCCACCTAATTTATAAATAAAAACTGAATTAGTAAAAACTACTCTCACAGAGATATCAAGATTCAAAATGGGTTTCATAAAGAATTAATAGGAAAACGATTATCTTCGAGAGAAAAAATTCAAGATACGGAGTAATAGCTTATTTGTGATCGTTTAAAAAACAATCAGAAACACTCCATCTTCCATTGAAATATCGAAACACGAATGCAGGAGAAGACAAGTGATCATAAAAACAACGCCAGATAGGAAAAAATAAATTGAACGAGCGAAATTTGCCTTTTTTGTACGGATTTAAATCTCAGACGAAAAACAGAGAAACGGAAATTCATCTTACCGGAAACGCATAAATCAGTTCTTAAAAAAAATAGAGATCAGAAAAAATGGAGCTAGAAATTACTACCACAGTTGAGCTAGAAAAAACTATGGAGAGATAAAGATTTGACAAGCCCAATTGGGCCTTATCAATTCTCGCGGAATGTCAGCTTATCATGCGGCAAATATTGGGCCTCAGAGGCCCGTAATAGTTATCTCCCATGGATCAATTCATTGGCATCAAAAAGTTAAATATTTTCTCTGTTTCAAAATAAAAATTTTATTCGTTTTATAGTGTTTGATTTAAGTTATTTTTAAATTAATTTAAGTAAGAATTTGTTTTAGTAGAAAGTTAAAATTATGTATTACATTAAAATACTATATGAAAAGGTCTATAAAGCAAGTAGTGACAATGTTATTTTATTTTATCAAATGATCGATGAAAATGTATATAATCAGTGGAATTAGTTTGACTTGTAAATAGTAAAAAGAAGTTTTTTTGGACAGAAGAAGTACAACTTTAATCTTAAATTACAATTAAGATTTTAATTCCCAAATATTACTTCATCCGCCTTTCAATAATCTTCTATCTTTTCTTTTTGAGTGTTCCATCATCTCCGATGGAGCCAAAATTTCACCATTTTTTGGTTTTGGGGTGTGATAGAATAAATCAAAATGGATCTCTAAACTGTCTACGCTTCTTTAATTAATGAAGTAGCAGTTAGTCAAGCAATGCAACTTTCGACGTTGAGCCGGGGGTCTCTTTGGAAACAGCCTCTCTACTTTCAAGTAGGGGCAAGGTCTGCGTACACACACCCTCCCCAGACCCTACTCTTGTGGGATTTAACTGGGTTATTGTTGTTGTTGTGTTCCAAACTAATCTTGAACTCCTTTAGAAGGAAAGCATTATCTTGAATACTAGTTTTTTAATCTTGAACTACAAATAGTATAAAAACTCCTAAGTATCAATTGGAGATATTAATAATAAATCACATATTTCCTGCAACTTTGAATAAAAAGACATGTCCTATAACTTTCTTTTTGGGCAAAGATCTTGTTTTTTAACAACGTTTTAGAAAGAAATTTAAGGTTGTATATTAATTTTGAGAAAGTTAAATCTAAACGTTATTGTTAGATAGTCTTTTTGAAAATACTAAATTAGGAGTAAACATTACAAAAGTATCAAAAATAGAAATTTCATATTTTTATTCTCAAAAAAAGACTTATAATGCTAACAATGTTAACATATTACATCAAAAAGACTATAAGATAATAATATGCAGTGTCAAATTATCATCATCAACAACAACCTAGTTGAATCCCACTACAGTAGGGTCTGGGGAGGGTGTGTGTACGCAGACCTTGCCCCTATTCGGAAGTAGGGAGGCTGTTTCCCAGAGACCCCCGGCTCAACCTGCACAAAAATATGAAAGGGGACACAGTATAACATGGATAAAGCACCAAGTACAATGAAATGAAAGTCCTACAAGCAATAGCAAAAGATTCCAATCAAACACAAGACACTACAAAACAACCTCTACAGCACCGAGCTCCTATCCAGCTACTCTAATCCTAGTTCTTTAAAGGTTCCTATCTAAGTCCATATCCTCAGACATGGTGAGAAGTCCTAAATCCTGCCTAATCACTTCCTTCCAATTCTTTCTAGGTCTACCCCTTCCCCTACTTCCCCCGATAACCGTAATCCTCTCGCATCTCCGTACAGAGGCGTCAGCATCCCACCGTCTCACATGACCAAACCATCTCAGTCTCGCTTCTCGCAACTTATCTTCCACCGGCGCCATGCCTACCTGGCGTAAATCCTATCCAACCTTGTCTTCCCACACATCCATCGTAACATCCGCATCTCTGCCGCATGCAGACGACGCACATGAGTCTTCTTAACCGCCCAACACTCTGCCCCATATAACATAGCAGGTCTGACTACGGATCGGTAGAACTTAGCTTTCATCTTGGGCGAAATCTTCGGATCACACAACACCCCTGAAGCTAACGGCATTTGGCCCAAACAACTCCAACACGATGTCCAACATCATGTCTAGCTCCCCATCAGCCTGTATTCAGTCTTGTTTCTACTTATCCATGTCAAATTATCAAAAAAACAATAATTTTATTTTATAACTTTAACATGAAACTCTATTTTGACATTTTTTTAATATTATATTCTTATATAGGATAAATTTCTTTAATTTTAAAGAAATTAAAGTGACACATCTAGACGTTAAGGCATCTCCACGTTAGAGGATAGACCCAAAGGCCGCCGTATAGTTTGTCGCCTCCGTAATCCGTCCACAAAAGCAAGATCGGGCCAGAATCCAGAATCAACCACTCTTCTTCCCGGACGCTGTGTCCCATTCTATCCCTCTCCCCTTCACGGGAAGCTACTGCAAAGAAACGTAGCGCAAGAAAAGCATAGCATTCTTAATTTATTAAAATCCCTGATTTCATCGCCCCCAACGCCTTGTGCAGAACTCGCCGGAATTTGACTGACGGACTATTATCGGAGTTATCAATAATCAGCGAAAGGGAAAAGATATTTAAGATTGAATTTTTTGTTTTTCATTTTCAAAAGGGTTTCTTCTATCATCAAGATGGGGAAGAAACGGAAATCTCTGGCGACGAGCCTGGATGAGGTGGATCGGACGATGTATTCCTCTTTCTGCAGCGCCGCTAACTCTCTTTCCCAGCTTTATACTCAATCCATGAATCAACAGAAGCTCTCATTCCAAGCAGGCGAACGCGAAGGGCTGGTAACTACACCTCTCTCTGCCGCAATGAATAAGAAATATCATAGATGGATTGGGCAAATTTTAAAAAAGAGACGTTTTTTTAATGATCTGGCACGCTTTGATAGTATACATGAACAATTGGACACATTTTTCTTCTTCTTCTTCTGAATATGTTAGTTTGGGATTGAAATGAATTGGATTGGCTCTGGCATTCTGTTAATATTTCAACTGAAGTATGTTTTATTCGTTTTGTTAGTGAATTTGATGATTGGGTATTCAAGTCTTGAACCCAATTCTCTTTCATATGTTATCATGTTTTCATTGTGTGGCTTGTTTTGCCTCTTGTACTTCTAGACAGAGAACCCTATGCTTTTCTGATGATATTTATCACACATTATTCCTTTCGTTTGTAAACATTTTAGAATTATTTGAATTAATCTCTATTGTTGGTTACCTTTAGGAAATGTAAATGATCTATCAAGTATGATGAAAGCTTTATCTTTTACGGAGTAATATATGAAGGAACAAAACTAAGCTACGCTAACTTTTTTCCTGTCTGAATGTATAATAGGATAAGTTATATCAGTGGATATTGAGGCTTCAGGATGGAGGATCAAGAGTAACCACAGTTGACATACTGAATCACCTTCAGGTTCCTTTACTTTTCTTTTCTTTTTTTAAAAAAGAATAATTGAGATTGATTGTACACCCTATGGTTAAGAGATATCTTATATAGAGGGTTAAAACATCTACTATGTAGAAAATCGTTTGCCCTATTAATTGTTTTCCGCCCTATAGTTATTAAGAGAAAATGTCTGTAAGATGTAAAAGAATTAAGGTTTATTGTTTGCCCTATAGTTTTGAGGGTTTCCACATGTTGCAGATATTTTTTCTTAAGCTCGGCGTGCCTGACATTCAATACAATTGCCTTGAGCGGTACAACCTTAAACCCTTCTACGGGGATAAATTATGCAACTTTTGTTTTAGGCTATGCTTGGGTGAAGGGAAGTTAAAGGGAAGGAAGAGAATTTAGGAGGAAATTGATAAACTTCAACTGTTTGGTTGGAAAAAAATTGGGAAGGAAATGGAATCGAATTAAGCGGGAAATTGGGTCGGAAAAAAATATCTCCACTTTTGGAGTGGAACGGAAGGGAGATTAGTTTCTCTCTCTTTTCTCTTTTCCTCATTCCTAGCTTGTATGTCTGTACCCCTTTCCCATCCCCATTTCCCTTTCTCCATCCTTTTCTCTTTTGCTCAACCTACATCCGCCCTAACCTGCCTCAGCCCCGGGTCTCAATCCCTCAGCCTATCTTTCTCATTTATGCTTAGATTTTTGTCTTTCCTACACTTGGTTTTTGATTATTTATGCTTTTAAAATCATTTTTTATTAAATTTTTATTGAATTAAGAAATATTTATTTTATTTAACATTTTTTATTGTAATAAATTTGTTATATAAATATATATTTTTTAATAATTATTTTCTTCTATAAACATTTTTTAAAAGAATAATTATAATTTTATTTCAATAAGTACTTTCTCCCCTAGCTTTCTTCCAAGCAAACAAGAGAGCTTAACATCTCTTCAATTCTCTATTCCATTCTTTCCAACCAAACAACCCAATGGAAGTTGAACTTCCACTCTAGTTCTTTCCTCTCCACATCTTTCCTCTCCATTTATTTCCTCTCCACTTCCACCCTTTGCCAAACACACTGTTAGTGATGGTGACTTTCATGATTTACACACATTCATAATACAATTTAGTAGGATTTTCTTGGTATACATCAAGTCATTTTCCTTTACAATTTTACATGACAATGTGAACCTCTGTTATGTTGACAGTCTCTTAAATACTTGGTGCATTTGTGTAAAATCATTTCTATGTTTTCTACTCCCTCCGTCCCACAAAAAAGTTCCCATTTTGAATAGTATTTAGTCAAATATTTACATGCTTTGACTACAAATTGTGAGAAAGGTATATTGAATTTTAAAATAAATTTAATATAATTGAATTCATCTTAGGATCTAGTTTTGATATCTCAAATTCTTTTAGCATTTTTTTATTTAGATTATATTTAATTTATGGTCAAAGCGTGTAACTGTTTGACCAAAAATACATCCAAATGGGAACTTTTTTGTGAGACGGCGGGAGTATTTGTTTTAACTTTTTATGGAAATTAAAACACAAAAATGGGTTTGTATTTGGCAGTCTCAGATTCATAAAACTAAAATACAATTTTGGATTTTGTTCGAAACATGTTTTAATTGTACTTGTTTTGATTGTTTTTGTACTTGTACATGTTAGTGTTACCAATTTCACATTTTTTTTGGAATTTTCATAAAAAACTTATATTTTCATTATAAATAATACTAGTACTTCTTATGTTTATAAAAAGAGTCCTCTTTCTCAACATATTTTGCCCCATAAAAAGACTCAAATTTGAAGAAAAGATGGTTGTTTTATCATAACAAATGTTTTTAAATAAAAAAAGGTCTCACAAACAACTTAAATATGTTAAATGTGGTGGAATTCATAAATAGATTTTAAAAAAATATCTAAATTTGTTGATTTTACCTATCATATCTCACTGAACTTTAAAATATCTATATTGGAGAAATATATTAACTCCTTTTATGGGATACGAGGATTATAGACGGTGGTCAAACCCACCTAAACCTTCCGTCCCAGCAGGACCAACCAAACCCCTCTTTTTTAATTTTTAATATTTTTATATCTAAAATACAATGTTTAAGGTGGGATTTGAACTCAAGACCTTTTCAGATGTACCAAGTGCTTTCAACCACCTAGGCTAGTGGGTTTGTGTTGTTACTTATGTGTATATATGGTGTATCAATACACATTCTGAAAAGAAAAGGTTTTTGAAACTTGATAAAAATGTTAGTTGTAAGATTTAAAATCATGACCTCAAGCCCTCAAGCCAAGCACCACACTTAAGGATCCTACCACATGAACTATACTACTAATTGACTCATTAATGTTAGGCATTTTAGAAATATATCTATTATCAGTCTCATGTTTTTTGTTAAATATAATAAAAAAAGAAAATAAATATGAGTTACTAATAATTACTCCGCAATTGCATTAATTACCAATGGAAATTGATTTTAGAATTGAAAAGGGAAATTAAATTTAAAAATCATTCTATTATAATGAGATTGTTGTAGCTTTTAGATGTTTAAATCATTTCAATTTACTAGTATAACTTTGTGTTGTCATCATTTTAATGGTCTCTTATTGTTATTTTAAAACTTTGTTGGTATATATGAATATTTGTCATTCTACTGTAACATTAGGCATTTATAAAATCTGGCCCAACCTCGATTTAATCAGTCCAACCAATAAATCCTTGATCTAGTCACCTATCAGGTTCTTCGCTCGGTCTGATTTTCAAAACATTTCTTAAAGTAGAGGCATTTTGGTTCATCATGGCATATTAGGGCAACGTTAGTATTGTTAAGTTTGGTAGGGTTTATTTTGAGTTGCTATCGGGAATTTAGTGCCATTTTCCTATTACAAATTCCTTATGGAACCCTAACCCTATAAATCATACTCTTTCAATTAATTCTACATACCTTTTCAATCTGATGTGCTTGTTATCATAATTCTTTGTTGTTCTCTCTTAAATCGAAATATCTCCAGTGGTTTTCCTACATCATTTTCAAATTTTCAATACTCTGAATAGGCTTTTGAATAAATTTGTTTAAGCCCTTCAAATCTTACTATCTTTAGTACTCTCTGGCTTACCTAATGTCCTAACCACTGCACAAGAAATCTTTGGTAATCCATCCGTCCCACAAAGAAGTTCACATTTCTACTTTTCCTTTATAAGGAAGTGGATATGTGGCTCACAATATTTCTTTCTTCCAATCAAATTCTAATCACCAACTTTTCACTTTCAAATACTTTTCTTAAACTACGCAAAGTCAAATAGGTAACTTCTTTATGGAACAGAGGGAGTATGTGTTTCCTACCCACAAGCTAACTTCTTTAACTTCCAAAATGTCTTATACAACCTCTGCATGTCTTTTAGGCACATTAGAACCGATCCTTTTCAGCACCCTGCATTTCCCCAAACTTACGGAAAGTGCTTCTACAAAAACCTCTCTTTCCATGGGCATATTTCTTGTTGCTACCTTTGATGGCAACACAAACCTCTTCAAATATCTGCTTAACATGATCAGCAAAAAGCTTCCCTGTGCGCACTTACTCAAGCGTCTTGAGTTAGTTCGCTTATATCTATACACAACTTCAATAAGTGTTTTTTTTAATAGTTTGGTTGACTGCAATGTTAGAAGCCAAGTTCTGCTTCCATGTATGATGCATTTCGTACAACTGCATTGCATAATTTACAGGTGGGAATGGCTTTCTCAATTTCGCCTTCCTATATCACAATTTTCAGGTTGCCTTGTTGAATGGGCCGCTCTTCAACTCTCTTCCACCATTTTTTCCCCTTTCAACTTTGCAAAAGGAACTTCTCTATCTTCTTGCATTTGTTTCCACTCAAAATAATGTTCCATACTTGTCTACCAAGCCAAATAAAGGTCCAGGTTCCTCCCGATCATGGAAGGGATTAAATTGATTTACCACATCAGTTTCTTTCTTCACCTTTGCAGCGTTCATGTTGACCTTCTGGTTATCCCACACAAACGGCCAAGTGTCCACGTTGCTGAGGACTCTGACCATCTTCCTTGGATCAAACCTTGCTTTTATTCCAAAAGTAATTTGTTTTTTATAAATTTTAAAAGAAAAAAATTGAAAGCAGACATCATAGATATTAAATAAAATAAAAAACAGGAAGAATTGTACGGAGTAACAAATAAACCTTCCATAGACTATTTAATCTATATTTGTGAATGAGTCAGGCTTAACCTGAAGCTCTTCTCCATATGAAGTTGGAATTAAGGTGGTCTTGATGATGAAGTGAGATGAACAAAATGGTCATCACGGCCTACTATTTGTTAGGAAGTTCTTTGGTTTCTTGTTTTTCCTGCAGTGCGTGTGTGCGTGTGTGTGTTTTTGTGTGTTTAATCTAATTTGTCTGGTTGACACTAACAGGCAGAATTAAGCTATGGGGAGGAGCAATCGGTGTCACCCAGGCCACCACCCCACACAAGCCCACATTCACAGCCAATGCATGTCACAAACACGGCATCTTCAGCTTCAACTGCTTTGCCATCTGGTGCTGTACAGGGAGGAGTTCGAGCCGACCATTATTATGAACAGCAATCAAAGAATAATGTTTTCTCCAATGCTCTGTCAAGTCCCATTCGCCGAAGCCTTCAAAACTATCACCTTGCTCGAGGAGACTGCTACTACTCATCAAGCCATGACCACCCTCCTGCAAATGTAGTCATCATAAAGAATGGTGAACCTAATCTTCAACACCAAAATAGGGACTCTAATTATAATAACAGCAGTAATAATGGTTATAACTCTAATGATACCTCCATGGATATGCATGCCGAAAGTCCAGTTCATGAAGCTCCGTATTGAAGAGTTCCTCAAGTATAATGCTGCTATTTGTTCATTCTCTTGGGATGTGGGTGTTGTAGTTTAAGTTGATTCAATACAATCTTTTGCAGGTTTGGGGTGGGGGGTGGTGGTGGATGATGAATCTTTTTAAAGCAATGTTTGTGGTAAAATGCCAAACTCGTGGAATATCAAAATTACTCCGTAAGTCATATATTTTCCTCACCTGATTTTGTGTTTAAATTTCACAAAATTTAAAACAAAACTTTTGTGGGACGGAGGAAGTACTCTCTCTGTTCCTGAAAATCTTTTCTCATTTCTTTTGTTATCCTTTTTAAAAAAAATTCTCATTTATATTAAAAAGTTACATTTATCATACTAATTTTTAACTACCATATCACATCACATCTATTCATTATTAATTTTCCGCTCATTTTGTTACATTTTTTGTTAGCATTGCACACTTAACATCGTGAGTTCAACTATACTAAGGTAGTGTTTCGTTCAACTTATTTTTTTATTTATTTCTTATTCTTATATAATTAGATCAGATCAGATTAGAAATAACTTTAATTATAACTGCAATCAGATCAGACTAGATCAAATCTTCAAAAAAATCAGATCAGACAGACGAAATGGTTTAATTTCATTTACTACGTTTTATAAGGTCAATACAGAGACATAAAAAGTGCAGATAGTGAAAAATCTTGAATATGCAGCAGAACCTGAAATATTTCAAAAATTAATTATTGCTCAGTATATTACATTATTTGAAAAAGATGTCTATTGAAGTGTCCACCAAGAAAAAAAATATACGGAGTATAAATAGTTCCACAATAAGAGAAAAATCAGGCATGAATTTTTAAAAGACAATTAGCTTCAACATTTTTTACGATAATTCATTTTTGGAATATTATTCAAGTTAAATTATACGGAGTAATATCAAGATGCGGATCAAATCATATTTTTACATATCACATCCAATTACATTTTTAGAAACTCAACACCATAATATGCTTTCCTTAAGTCTCTTTAAAATTAAAATCTTACATATTTTAAAGGGCAGAGAGAGTATATGTTTACTCGAAGTATCGTTCAATCGGTGGACCAATTGATCACTTTCGTTCTTAATACACTAATTTTTGTATTCCAACTTGTACACTATTGCACATACACACAAATAATTATTTTCTGTGAACGCACAAACAATAATATTTGTATGTGTTTGTGACACACTATTCTACAAGTTGGGAGTACAAAAATTAGTTAGCTCTTGGCATTTGGCATACCCCATTTTAAAAGCACGGACAAATGCATCCTCAACAAAAAAAGACAATTTGAAAGTTGGCCCCTACTCTATGCCTTTATAAAGTTTAAAAACAAATAATTAAAGTACTACGGAGTATTAGTGGAGTATATATTCTTTTATCTTCTTTTTCTTTAATCTATTCTTTTATCCAACACTAGACAGAATTTATACTAAAAAATGCACTACTCAGAAATATAAAAAAATATAAATTTATTTTAATTTTCTTTTTCTATACAAAAGAATAAAGAAAATATGAATTTGATTTTGGAAGTATCATCTTATTTACTCTTTTGAGTTTCTGGTAACTTCCGTTCAATTATATGTTTTCATTGTTTATTTAATGTCACACCTAATTTTACATAATTTTTTGTGTAATTTTAAAAAATGTAATTCATGTTTTTTATTTTTATACTAATTTATATTTAAAATAATTTTAAAAACAATTTGATTTTACACATTATTTGAAATTGGACAATATTTTTAAGACGGACGAAATAAGAGCAATTGCAATGACGGAGGGGATTTGTGTTACGGGACTATTATTATTATGGTAAGAAATTATTTATAGTTAGTTAACTATTATTAGGGAATAATATATTTGTTAGGTGATTAATTAGTTTCCTAGTTTATTTAGTTACCTTTTATAATTAGGATTCTTAATTATTTAGTTACCATTTATTATTAAGATTCTCTAGAGTTGGAGCCTATAAATGTATCCATCACCATAGTATTATCAATCAATCAATAAAGAAAATACTTTCTCCTAAACTCTAATTTTTCTCTCTTTCTCGCCTCTTTTGTTCTTGGAGCTCGGAGGTGCTCGAAATCCTTCCATATAAATGTATCCATCATCATAGTATTATTAATCAATAAAGAAAATACTTTCACTTTATCCATAAGTTAATCACTCTTAAACACCCTCTAAATTTGAGTCCTCCCTCCCCCAATAGAAAACCATACGGGGAAAATAAAATGAGTCCCCACCACCTAATCACTATGTCGCACCAGTGGCTGAAATTATTTACCGGTAGGCGTGACACTCCAAGGGCCCCACCCCCCTTCCCACGCGGCCACGCCTAATTTAAATGAAATGAAATCCTAACTTTCCAACACCACCACATGCATGCTCCTCCCCCACTCACTGTTTTAATCATAATTACGAGCATTTCTTTCATTTTTAAATAATTGTACATTTTTATTTTTTAGATTTATTGATTTCTTAATAAATACAGAAAAATACTTCCTACTATTTACTCCCTTCATCTCAAAATATTTGTTCACCTTTGACTTTTTCAGATAAACTTGATAAATCTTGACCCCAAATTAAATAAAATGATATCAAATATTGATTCAAAAATATTTTAATTAGATTTATTTTATAAAATATTTTCAAAATATTATTTTATCTTAATAATATCTTATATATATTTTACTCCGTATTTAATTAGAGTCAAAAGTTGAAAATAATTAACTGAAAAAAGTCAAAACTGCACAAATACATTGAAAATGAGGTAGTTAAACGGTTATTAATATATCCAAAGTTGTATTTTTTTGTTGATGATTTTTAGAAGTGACGTTTACAAATTACGACGACTTAACTACCCGTGTGTGGGGGTATAATTGGATTGTTTTATGGGGAGTGAGATAAGCGTGGGCAAATATATATACTCCGTGTCCAAAAAGAAAAACGAGAAAGAAAATGTGGCTCTCAAATTGATCTCATCAAAGTGCAGGTTGAGCTGAGTTTTGAGCCTAATCGAGACATTATTTTACAAAAATTTTCTATGTATAAGTCTAGTCTGGCATGCGTAGCGGGTCTAACAATAAAAGCCCGAGCACGACCCATAGGAGTGCATTCAGGGCTTTAGCTTGACCCTTCTCGACCCCCATTTATAAAAACAATTGAAAACTAGGTTTCAAATTAAAATAAAATATTCCGTAATAATTTACGAAGTAGTTTATTAGATGTTTGATTTTAAAATTAGTTTGAATACACAATCAAAGTAACGACTAATATATACGTGTCTTATATTATACTGTCGTTATGGAGTATTATAATACTGGTAATGTGCGATATGCAATAATATAAGACATATTGATTTGATTAAGTAAACTTATACTTCTCATTTTTTTTCTTAGAAGTATGCATGTACATTTATATAACACTACTAAAATAAATGTTGTTATTATAATTATTAATAAATATAATTCATTTAAAGAGTCACTAATTTAATTTCAAACTCTAATTGGTCTAATATAGCCTCTCATCACATCAGTCCCTTCAAAAACTGGTCCATCCAAGTAATTAAACTTTTTAATAGAAAGAAAAAGGCTAAAATTCACGTATGGTCCTTCAACTTTTTGAGATGTGCACCGTTGGTCCTTCAAGTTTTTTATTTCCATAAATAGTCCTTCAACTAATACTCTGGCTGCACACGCGATATCCTATTGACGGTACACGTTAAACCAAACGGTGGATAAGAAAAGGACCAAAAAGGCTTTGTTTTATTTCTTATTTCATCTTCAAATTAATTTATAGGTGCTCCACTTCAAATTTCAAGTGACGAAACACTTCTCATGCTGCTCTGTGTTGTCAGCCTTATCCTCAATTTTCTCTTTATTTCTCCAATCAATCTACCTTACTTCTTGAATTGGTTTTTAGATGTAATCAACAAAGTCAGCTCTGTTTTAATGGCGACAGAAGGGTAAAAGTTTTGTAGAATAATTAAAACTAGGGTTTTTATGTTCCTCCATCTTTAAGCATCTCTATTTTAATGTTCCTCTCTCTGTTTTCATTTTATTCATGTAATTGGTTTTAATTTCTAGTAGTTTAAAATTAAGAATTGCACCATTTATTGAAATTGGGTATGCAATGAAATTAGGGGGTTTTATTTTGAAAATTTTACTAAACTCCACACCCATTACACACCCATAGTCCCACACATTTTTTTCACATTCAAAAAAATAGTTGTATATAGAGTAAAGTAAAGGGGTGTTTGTTTTTTGGCCAGAAGAGCTTCTGACCTTTTTGTCTGCGCCGCGCAGACGCGCGCAGATTTGTTTTTTGGAAGATATTTCACTCAAAAAGGTCTTTCTGGTATCTTCTTGGAGAAGCCATTAACCTATGTCTTCTAACATCTTCTCTATTTTTTTCTTCTACTTCTCTTCACCACCACCACCGTCCACCACCATCACCGCCACCGTCGTCCACCACCACTGCCACCATCCACCGCCACCACCACCACCGTGCACCACCACCGCCGTCAACGTCCACCACCACCCTTCACCACCACCCTCCACCACCACCACAATCGTCTATACACTACCACCGTACACTACCACCATTAATTTATATAGCAGTCTACAGACATTAAAAAACAAACAGTCTTCTTCTTGCAGACCGCATACCTTCGGTCCACCACTTCTCCTGCAGATGTCTACAATAGTGGTCCGCAGACTGCAGACCTTTTCCTGCATAAAAAACAAACACCCCTAAGAAAAGAAAGGGGGATCGTGTCTGCAGCAAGATAAGCAAGAAAAGAAGGGAAAAGTAATAAAAGAAGGGTTCGGTTCATGCGTGGGACACACGCTCTGTTTATTACTAACAGAAGGACTATATCTACAGCTAGAGTATTAATTGAAGGCCTATTTATGGATATAAAAACTTGAAGGACCAACAATGCACATCTCAACAAGTTGAAGGACCATACGTGGATTTTAGCCAAAGAAAAAACTCTTTCTAATATCATGCCATATTACTTTTCAAAATAAAATGAATGTTATTTTATTCATAATTGATATAATTTGATAATAAATGATCTTATTGAATAATGAATGAGACCGACGATGTTCCCGGTTGAAAAAGGAATGAGTAGGATTTTGAAAATCTTAACTCCGATATCATGATACAATTTGATAATAAATGATCTTATTGAATAGACACCATTAATATGTGTATTTATATATACATATATATTATAAAAATATAATATTTCAAAACATCATTTCACTGGTATTCAATTTATGATATGATATAGAGTATAACCCAACACATTTTGCTCATATTTCGTGGCCACATATAAAAATTGTTAATGAAGAACAATAAAACAAGAAGAAAATCACCGGGTGAAGGAACAAAAAAGTTTCTTCTCACCTGAAAAAAACTTCTAATTTTCTAAAATTAATCAAATTTAAGTTGATAACGCGTGTTTAAGAGAGAATTACTAGTAAAGTCTTCTAGTTAATTGTCTAGTTTGATTTTTTCAGGTCAACTTGAACAAATTTTAAGTTTCAGTTACTACTCTTAATTTGTATCGTATATTAGTACAATAAATTTTTTTTTGAAAGTTATCAATAAAATAAATCTAATAAAATCATTTTTATACTAATGTACATTATAATTTTTGTTTAAGTAAAACTCAAATTTCATTCTATTTAACTCAAAAAGTCAATCTCGTAAGTACAATGGGAGGAAAAAAGTACTACCTCCGTCCCATTTTATAACGCCTGTTTCGGTTTACGATGTTTAACTGAAATTATTTTCAAACCATTTTATATGACAAATGATATAAAATTAAAAAATAAAAATTACATATTAAAAAACTACATCAAAAGATCTACAAAACTAGTAGTGACAATAATATTTTATTTTATCAAATTGCTAACGAAAATAGAGAAAGAAAGTAAATGAAGTTTGACCCTGTGAATAGTAAACAGGCATTATAATTTGGGACGGAGGAAGTAATACACAATTTCTTAATTATCTTTAAAAGTTTTAAGAGGCAATTTGATTTTGGACAATGTTAGAGGTACACCAACATGGAATACCTCATATATACACCAAACCAACATAGACACACACAGACACAAAATGTCTGTGCAGTACAAACATTTTGTGTTTGTCTGTGTTTGTATTGGCTTGGTGTAGATAAGGTACTCCATGTTGATATACCTTTTGATTTTATTTCTTATTTAAAAAGTAGCTAGGAAGTCAATGGTGGAGCCGTAGTTGGGAGTGGATGGAGTATATAATTAGCTGCAGGACTTAGGAAGGCGCGTATAGCCTCGCTTGATTAAATTCGCTGCAGGCTATATATATATATATATATATATATATATATATATATATATATATATATATATATATATATATATATATATATATATATATATATATATATATATATATATT